TTTCAGGTATTTTCCTGATATTTACTAATTGGTTGTTGCTAGGGGGTATCTAGGAAGTGAGGGTAATCAGGACTTCAGGTTTTTCTCTATTATTCACTGATTGGTTGTTGCTCGGGGAAGTAAAGGAGGGGAGGGGGTTTAGGACTCTGTGAGGTAAAGCCCTGAGGTGTGGGGAACGTGCTGGAGTTCCCAGCACTAATGGCTCCTAGTTAAAGAATAATTACCTGGAGAGCATTAGTACAAAGTGTGGTCTCACATTATCAGTAGGACCAGTCCCTGGAGAAGTACATCATACTTGGTAAAGCAGAGGGTCAGCAAAAATGAGGAAGCCTTTTGACAAGATGAATTGACATAGTGGTTGCAACAATGGGCTCAAACATGGCAATGATTGTGAGGATAGTGCGGACCGGGCAGTGTTTCCTTCTGTTGTACACAGGGTCACTAAAAGTTGAAATTGACTTGACAGCACCTCATAACAATAACTAAAGTTATGATAAAGTCCTAGCCCTGAAAATGTGACTTTATTTGGAGAAATAGGGTTTTCCTTTACAGATGTTATCAGTTAAGTTAAGGAAGTCACAACACACAGTAAAATAGGTCCTAATCCTAATTCTTTCTGAGTGGTGCTTTGTAAAAGAGAAGGACAAACACAAGAATAGAGTCATACATAGGGAGAAGACAGTATGTAAGGATCTGTCTACAAGCCAAAGAATGCCAAGAAATGCCCAAGGTTACAGAAGTTGCAAAAGCAGGGCTTTGAATTAGTTCATTTTCATTTTGACCCCCTGCTGAGAAACTGCATTTCCACTCCAGATATGCTGAATCAGAATCTACGTTTTAACAAGATCTTATGCATACATAAGAATCACTAGGGGATATATAAGAATCACATAAGAATCTTGTTAAAATGAAGATTCTGATTTGGTGTGTCTGGGGTGGAAATGGAAATTCCCAGCAGGGGGTGGAAGTGGAATGAACCAGTTTGAAGCTCTGTTGGACAGACAAAAAAGGATTTTCTCCTATAGCTCACAGGGAGACAGCATTACTCTGCTGACAATGTCTTCAATTTGGTCTTCTGGCCTCCAGAACTGTGAGAAAATTAATTTCTGTTCTTTAAAGGCACCCACTTTGTGGCATTCTGTTACTGCAAACCTGAGAAGCTAGTACACCAACTTTTCAGTATTACAGGAAATGCAAATTAGTGGAAAGGACATATTTAATGAGATGAAATGGATGAGACTTAAATTCTGAAGCACTTGGGGTGGTGGAAGGCTGTGTGTTCTACAGTAGGAGTCCTAACTCCATTGTGAGGCTTGATGTAGGTTTCAGATGCCATTTGGATTCTTTCTATTGAACCATCATTGTAACTATGCACAGACAAGTTCCAGGACAAATCTAGGGAAAGGTTTGCATTCAGGAAGTGTATGGTTGAAAGCAGATTTTACCCTCACAAAAACTGGGAAACTTGCCTGAGAGTGTCCTTTTCTAATTTAAATTAAGGTTGGGGTCTGGGTATTGTTTGGTAGTCACCTTGTGGCTAAGACTCAAGCTGCATGGTCTTGAGTCAGCCTGTCTGTACTTGCCAGGTGGTCAAGGCCCAGGACCAATACTGTAACCCTTTTCTATCTTCAGTTATGTACATATACCAATTATGATCTTTTCCCTGTTTCTCTAGTCCCAATAGTGACGAATCAATCTACCACCAATCATGATTTTGTGACGAATCCCCTTTTTGAAAAAATTATATATAATTAGTCACATGGCCATGACTTAGTGGACTCTACTCACCTTTCTCAAGCTGATGGTTTCCCTCATCCAGGATGATTGTCTTTGTCTTGACCAAGGCTTAATAAAAGTGTTTCTATAGAACCTATTTGAATCTGGGGTCTCTTTTCCCCTATTACAGATATGAAAAGTATAGGTGAAGTGAGATTTTAAAATGTATGTCGACTATTTTTATCTGAACTCCAAAGGACCACACAGTCAGGAAGCTCAATACTAGCTAGGGTTTACTGTCATTTGGGACCCAATCTCAAAAAAGGCAAGTGTCAGGTACCGAGCTGATATGGGAACACAGCAACGTGGCCCTTGAAGAGCCAAAGGTGCATTCTTGGCCCTCTGGTGGTGCCTGGCACTGAATTTGACCCTCAGCAGATGCAGAGTGAACATTCCCATGTCATAAACTTGATCAAACAGCATCTCGCACAGCCAGTCATGTTTCAGTTTTAAATGCCATTTATTTCACTTGTTCAAAACTGGTTATCCATGAATATTACATCTTATAATTCATTACTAACTCTGAGAATATTCAATAAACCAAAGTGCTCTACTTCCCAAATGTTCTATACAAATGACAATTCATGGCATTCAACTAATTTAATCTCAGGAATTGAAAACTAAGACCATATTATCATTCTCTCTAAGATTATGAAGGAAAAAACACTTTATTTTTTGAGTGTTAGCCATCTAATGTTCTAATTTGTTTTAAATAAAACAAATGGTGTCATGGAGAAAATTCTAGACTAAAATAGTTAGATTCTTCACCCATTTCTTTGTTAATTCATTTTATGACCTTAAATAGTCTACTCCTCTGGTTTCTCATCTGTATACTGAGTACATTCTCTGTGGTAGGATTATATGAAAGAAAAAAAAAACATGTCTGTGACGTCTGTGAAAATACTTGGAAAAACAAAAGGACGGCATTTGCACAGGCAGACAGTTCAGGGGGCAGGAGTGCATGGGAGGGAAGGACACAGGGAAGAGGTAACTACAGGGAGGAAGTGAGAAGAGAGGTGTTACATTGTGGGGAACTGCAGTCAATGTCATGAAACAAAATGTGTATGGAAAATGAATTTGTTCTACAAACTTTCACCCAAATAACAATAAAAATAAACAGAAAAAGAAAATACTTGGAAAAATACAGAAGAGAGATATAGGTGTATTATAATTTTTCTATTTGTTGTAAAGATGTTCAAATTAATACCAAAAAAAAAAAAAAAAAAAAACCAAACTCACTGCCATGGAGTCGCATCCAACTCATAATGACCCCTCCTTGAGTTCCCGAGGCAGTATCACTATAAAAGAGATTCCCCAGCCTTCCTTCTGAGGAGTGGCTGGTTTTAAGTCATTGGTGTGTAAATAAAAACAAAATGCTGGTAAGGCAGAAGAAAAGTTTCCTGCCAACTTTCTAAAGAGTATATTCATCTAATTAAACAAAAGAACTTCAAGTGCAAATCTTTGCAAATGTGAAATATTACATATCTGACAGTGTTGGGTGACGTGTGTGGGTGATAAGTGACCCCATGAAGGGCTCCATGGACCCATTTGGATCTTAAGGCTGCAAAGGTCTGGGGTTGGGAGGTGATTCAGTGGTGCTGCCTCACTCAGATTGGGTGTGACAGTCCTTCTGTCTGTCACATCTGGAGCTCCAGGCTCCCCTGGCTCTGTGTCTGCATCTCCAACCTTTCCTCTCACCCACTCGTAGGCGTGGCTTGTCTGGGACCAGCACTTGACTGCAGGCTTCCTGGGGTACACGGGGGCTGTGTTTTCATCATCCTTGGGGCTCATCCAAGCACTGGCACAGAACACAGAACAGAGGGAGCTCTCATGAATGCGTGATGAATTACTAACTGAGCTGGCTTCACTGCTACCTGAATGGGGAAGGAAGTTGTCATGTCAGTACCCAGGCAGCAAACAGCAGTTAATAAAGGAAAACCCAGGAGTGTGGCTAGTGGGGGGTTCCTCCAGCCCAAAGGATGTGACTCCTATGTTTACTGGAGAGAGAGAGAGAGATTGTGCTCCAAATACAGGCACAGTGCCTCCCAGAATGTCAGGAGAGCAATGCAGAAAGAAACAGAGCTGGGGAGCAGGACCTGAACACTGTGCTGAAGCTACAGGCTCAGAGTTTGAGCTCAGGTTGCGCTGAACTGTCTTCCCCATCCACGTGGGACTTCAGGCAATCTTTGGGGTCAGTAAGCACAAAACATGTCTACAAGCTGCCAAACACAGCTGTGATCTTTTTATTATTATTATTCTTTTTCAAAACCTTTACAAACATAACAGTTTTGGCATATCCCACTAAAGGTTTATACTAACAATAGCCAGCCAATGTCAAGTCAGCCCCAACTCATGTGCCAGAGTAGAACTGTCCTCCATAGGGTTTTCAATGGCTGGTTTTTCAGAAGTAGCTGGGCCGGTGGACTTGAACAGCCAGCCTTTTGGTTAGCAGCCAAGTGCATTAACCATTTGCACCACCCAGGGACTCCATATATTAACAATCCTGCAGCCTGACATGTATGTCATTGGTCCATGATTAATTGTATTTTTGCCAAAGGAAAATCAGTCCATGTGCCTTCTGACAGTTCAGAGAAGTGTCTTCATACACAAAGGCTTGGATATTTAAAATAACTGTTGCTGAGTAAAGAACTGCAGTGGCATGATATAGGCATCATTTGCTTAATGAAAGGGTTGATGAGCCTTGGTGCTTGCAAGGTTAGGGAATTGTAGACCAGTAGTAACAATCTAAATTTATTCAACATTCAGGATGTGCCAAACATCGCTTAAGTGCCTTTCTTGTAATTTCTTATTAGATTCTCAGGACCACTCCATGAGGTAGTTATTGCTATCATCCATCCCTTTTACAAATGAGGATACTGAGGCATTGAGAAGTTCAAGACTGAGATCACCCAGGATGGGGATGGCAGAGCTGGGACCTGGAGCCCTACTCCACACCAACTGCACCATCTCTGTGTTGATAGACTGGATAAACTGGTGGAACCCTATCACTCGTCCCCACACCATCATTTCCCAACTGCTCCTTGTTATTTTTGCAGGAGAGGAAGATGCATCCCCAGTGACAACCCACAAAATGCTAGCACACACCAATCTTCCCTTGCTGGAGCTCTCTGGGACAAATTCTCCCTTCACTACTGGCAGCCATGGCAGACAAGCCCTTCACACCTGTCTCACTCCTTACCATCCATCAGTGCAGCGATGATCTCTCATTCATAGAACACCTGGTAACTGAAGTTGTCAGACTGGATTTTGAAGTTGTATCTTCCAGTCATCCTCTGGTAGCGTATGATCAGGATGGCAGCTATACCAGTCACCAAGGCAAAGATGGCCACCACAATGAGGACCACATAGACCACTCCCAGACGTGGCTGTCCACCTGCAAAGTCACCTATGGGGATGTGACATGTACAAGGTGAGATATCTGCCCAAACTAGGAGGAACTCACCTCCACAGGCCTAGACCCAACTGGAGTCCCTGCAATGGGAAAACTGTGGTGAGGCTGAAGCTGGGTGGTAGAGCAGGGCCCAGAATGGAACAAACTGTCCATGGTACTACCAATTTTTGAACATTATAATTACCACCTGGATGCAATGGCTCTCAAGCACCTGAGTAGTGAGGTCCCCTGAGTGTTGGCTCGTAGAGAATGGTGGAGGCAGGCATCTGAAGCCCAGCAGTACAACTGGCTGAGCCAGCTCAGCCTGCCTTGCAGTTCTTAGGAAAACTACTGGCCAAGAAGACAAGGTCAGTGTGGGAGAAACAGGTCCTCCCTACAGGAGAAGGAGAACTTGGCCAAATTTCTGGCATGGAGAGACAGGCTGAGCCTGCACACATCCTACAACACAGAGGGGTGGGGTCTTCCAGCAGGAGAGCACTGAAAGAGGGGCAATAATCAAACAATAGACAAGCATAAAGGTGAATATTTATACCAGGTAGGTATAAATGAACAATCAACCATGGGAGATCAGAAGGGACAAGGCCATGGGGCAGGAGGGGAGATAGCTCAGAGGGCAGAATACACAAGAAAGGACACAGGGAAAAGGCAACTACATGGGGTGAGTAGGAAGAGAGCTGTTGCATTATAGGACCTAGTTTCAGTATCATGAAATGTTTCCAAAAATGACCCATAGGAAACCCGAGGACATCATATTTGGTACAGTAGAGGGTTAGCAGAAAAGAGAGAGGCCCTTAATGGGATGGATTGACACATTCCCCATGACAATGGGCTCAAATTTAGCATATATTTGATGGACTGGCAACATTTTGTTCTATTATATTCTGTTTTGTTTATCAATATGAGTAGGAGCTGATTCAATGGCAACTAAGAACAACAGTAATCACTTAAGTAGTTTAGTGGATAGGTGAATGACTAGGTAAGTGGGTGGATGGATGGATGAATGATGGATTGATAGATGGATGAACAGATGGTTGAGCAGATGGATGAATGAGTAGACAGATGAATAAATGGATGGGTGGATGGATAGATGAATGGGTAATGGTGGATGGATGAGCAGATGGGTGGGTTAATGGATGGATAAAAAGCTAGATGGGTAGATGGATGAGGGAAAGAGAGGATGAGTTGAAGGGTAGGTGAATGGATAAGTGGATGTGGGGGTGAATGGAGGAATGGTTTAGCGACTTTATGGGTGGATGGATGAGTGGATAAATGAGTGAATGAATGGATAGGATTCAGAAGTTTCAGTAACTAAGACCCACGCTCTATTCCTGGCCAGTGTACCTCATGTGCAGCCACCACACCCACTGTCTGTCAGTGGAGGCTTTGGTGGTGCTGTGATGGTGAACAGGTTTAAAAATCCTAAGGAGCACAGATATGCTCTGATACACGTGGGGTCACCATGACTCAGAGTTGACTCAACAGGAACTGGTTTTTGAATGAAATGGCTTTTTGTCATGCAGGCACACGTGTCTCAGACACACACACAGAATTTGACTCTGCCTGCTTATAGCTTCAGTTCTTTCTTTCCTCTTAATGATCTACTCAATGTATTTATCCAATGTCAGGAAATGTCAACAGTTTCAAAATATTGCATTATTTAAACTTGGGCCTGAGCTCTCAAAGCCTCAGCTTCCTCATCTATAAAATCAGATAATAATAGATCCAGCTTCATAGGTTGTTGAGAGGAGTAAGTTGCATTCTTCATGTAAAGGACATGACAGCTGGCATCTAGGTAAACTCTCAATAACTCTTATTTACTTTCATTAGTGTTTTAGGAAAATCTTAATCATCCCACATCACAGTAGCTCTTTGGCTTGAAGGTTTGAAATGAAGTTGGTTCCATCTTTTCTTTAGTTCTCTAAACCAAGTCATCAACTCACCTTCAGACCGAATGAGGGGCCCCCAGGATGTCTGGTATGTAGCAGGTGTCTCACTACTTCTCAGTGACCGGAAAGCATTGCAATTCTGTTTGTTTTTTAAAAAGAGAGGAACTGCACATTAGTTGACAATGGTTATGAGACATCAACTCACCATCAGGGGTGGAAATGTGATTCTAAAATTTTATCCTGTGGGGAATATCAAGTCACTGGGTGGATAAGTGTTGACAGGGGAGCAGAGAACAGGAAAGGCCAAGCCGACAAATTCTGCCCAGGTGAGATGATACCGGAGCAGCCATGGTGGGTGGAGGAGGGCTGGGCATCAGGAGACAAGAGGGGGTTGAAGAAAGCAAAGTACACACAGAAGTGAGATGCAGAAAGCCCCTTGACATATCTTCAGGTACTAATGCTGGCCCCTTTGGTCCCACTGGGAGCAACGTCTCATTTCCAGCTCTCAGAGGCTACACAGCCATTTTTTGCCTTCCCAAAGGCTGCCTGGCCCAGTGACATCATGCAATCTGCTTACTACAAAATCATCCCAAAGGAACTGGGAAAGTGTGTCATGCTCATGGTGCAAAGAATTTAAACTGACTATAAAATTTTGGGGGGATGAGGATGTAACAGTAATCCCTGGGTGGTGCAGTTAATACACTCAGCTACTAAGGGAAAGGTTGGTGGTTTGAACTCAGCCAAAGGAACCTCAAAAGAAAGCTTGGCAATATATTTCAGAAAATGCAGCCACTGAAAACCCAATGGAACACAGTGCTACTGTGACACACATGGGGTCACCATGAGTTGAAACCAACTTGATAGCAATGGGTGTGGTTGGTTTTTTTTTGGAAAATGTAACATTCAAATTAAATTTTTCTTTAAAAAAACTACAAAATCTTCTTCTTCAAGCAAGTGTTACTCCTTTTGAGAAGCCAAATAACTTATTAGCTATTATTTAAATAGAAGGATACTTTGAATTTCATATCTTAAAGGAGTTTAGCTACTTTCAATTTTAGTGATTTTACTTGTTAGGCTGTTAGGTGCTGTTGAGTCATTCCCACTCATAGTGACCGTATGCACAACAGAACTAAACGTTGTTCAATCCTGTACCAGTCTCACAGTAGTTGCTATATTTGAGAGCCCACTGTTGCAGTCACTGTGACAATCTGTCTTGTTGAAGATCTTCCTCTTTTTTGCTGACCCCCTACCTTACCAAGCATGATGTCTTCTCCAGTGACTAGTCCCTCCAGATAACATGTCCAAAGTACATGAGACAAAGTCTTGCCAACCTTGTTTCCAAGGAGCATTCTGACTGGACTTCTTCCAAGGCAGATTTGTTTGTTCTTCTGGCAGTCCCTGGTATTTTCAGTATTCTTCACCAACACTATAATTCAAAGGTATCAATTCTTCTTCAGTCTTCCTTATTCTTGTCCAGCTTTCACATGCATATGAGGCTATTGAAAATACCACGGTTTGGGTCAGGTGCACCTTAGTCCTCAAAGTGACATTTTTTTTTAAAAAAAACACTTCAAAGAAGTCTTTTGCAGCAATTTGCACAATGCAATACATCATTTGATTTCTTGAATGTTACTTCCATAGCTGTAGATTTTGGATCAAAGTAAAATGAAATCCTTGACAATTTCAATATTTTTTCCATTTATCACGATGTTACTTGTTGGTCCAGTTGTAAGGATTTTTGCTTTCTTTATGTTGAAATGTAATCCATACTATACTATTGTGTTTTATCCTCAGTAAAGTCTTCTTTACTTTCAGTAAGCAAGGTTATGACATGTGCATTAGTTTTTAATTAATTAGACCTCCAATCTTGATGCTGTGTCCTTCTTCATAAGGTCCAGTTTCTCAGATTATTTGCTCAGCAGATAGATTGGATAAGAATGGTAAAAGGATACAACCCTGGCACAAAACTTTCTTCATTTTAAATGACAAAGTATCCACTTGGTCTATGGACAGGTTCCACATGAGCACAATTAAATGTTCCAGAATTCCCATTCTTCACAATATTATCCTTAATTTGTTGTGATCCACACAGTTGAATTGAATGTCTTTGCATAGTCAACAAAACACAGGTAAACATCTTTCTGGTATCCTTTGTTTTCAGCCAATATCCATTTGACATCAGCATTGATATCCCTTGTTCCAATCCTCTTCTGAATTCAGCTTGAATTTCTCTGAATTTCCTGTTGATATACTACTGTGACCATTTTTTAAATTATCTTCAGCAAAATTTTACTTGCATTTTATATTAATGATATTGTTTTATAATTTCCACATTATGTTGGGTTACCTTTCTTTGGAATGGGCATGTATATGGATATCTTCTAGTTGGTTGAGCAGATAGCTGTCTTCCAAATTTCCTGGCATAGACAAGTGAGTGCTTCTAGCATTGCATCTGTTTGTTGAAGCATCTCAGTTGGTATTCTGTCAATTTCTGTAGCTCTAATGATTGTACTAATAATCATAAATTGAACAATATCTGTTTTGATAAAAGTTGTGCTCAACTACAAGAGCAAGTTTTAATGTCTTAATGATTGGTGCTGCTCACTTGCATGATTTCAAATGACATAATTATAAATACATGCTATCATAATTTGTAAAATTTGGAGGCTGGCTTTCACTCCAAATTTACTCTTTTATAAAGCAACATATCAGCCAAGATGTACGTAAATCAGTCTTTGTTGAGTCAATTCTGACTCATGGTGGTACCATGCACATCAGAGTAGAACTGTGTTCCACAGAATTTTCAATAGCTGCTTTTTCAGAAGTGCATTGCCAGACCTTTCTTCTGAGGTACCTATGGGTTGATTCAAACCACCAACCTTCAGTTAGTAGCTAAATGCATTACCCCAAGGACTCCTAAGATGCACTTTCAGACTCAAACTAAAGCATGTATGATTTTAAAGAAGTTGTGCCAAAGCATTCTGTAGAATTGGACAGGGATATTGTCTCAGGTTATTTGGAGAAGCAGAAATCAATATGTTGTATTTTAAGGTAAAACTTTTATCAACATATTTACTTCTTCTCCTTCTCAAGCCACAAGTCAAACATTTTTTTCTTTTAATAGATGTTGTTATTAGTTGCCATTGAGTTGGCTCTGACTGTTGTAACCTTCAGTACAACAGAACAAAAGGTTGCCTAGTCTGTGCCATTTTCATGATTGTCAGTGTGCTTGAGTTTATTATTGTAGCCACTGTGTATTTTGAGTGCCTTCCAATCCAGGGAGCTCATCTCTCAGCAGTATATTGGATAACAACATCCTTGGGTGGTGCAAATGGTTAATGCACTCAGCTGCTAACTGAAAGGTTGGTGATTCAAGTTCACCCAGAGATGCCTTGGAAGAAAGGTCTAGTGATTTACTTCTGAAAAATCAGCCATTGAAAACCCAACACGATGACTTAGCCAGCCAAACCATGCTATCTACCTAGAGCAAAGATCCAAGAAACCAAGTGTAACAGATACAGATAATAATCTTGGAACCCTGAGCATCAAAAGGAAGGATGAAGAATTAGGTTAAACATTGATTGGAAGGAGAAACTGAATGAAAACAGTGAACAAGGAGAGTTATGCATCAGAGGTGTCCTGCCAGCCAGCCCATTGCAGCATGGCCATCTTGAAGCAAAGTGAATAGTGACTGTGGTTGAGCACAGGAAGGAAACTTCACAGAATTCTCAGTAGGAGACAGAAAAACTGAGTAGACAAACCTGAGTGAAGCAAGCTAAGCAAGACAGGAACTGGATCTAAGAAGGGAAAGCCAGGCAGACAAAAACTTCAGGGATCTTGTCATCCATATAACAGGAAAGGAACCAGGAGCCAAACACAGGACAACTCACCAGTGGTAGTCTCAGACCATTAGGATGGGAGGTTCACACAGACTAATAGATCCATACCATGTCAGTAGGAGGTTCCACCTGACCATACCCTAGGCAGCTCCTGACCTTGCATTTGGTCAGGGCTAGGTCCTGATTGCTGGCTGTAACCTACAAGGGTGCTCCAGCACCCATGCCTAGTGATCAGAAGAGCATCTTCCTACTCTTCCCTCCCTCTCAGTGACCACTGGTGTGAGCCCCACCACCACCACCCCCTGCCTGACCAAGGACTGTAGTATGAGTCTGTTCTCCCCTCTACCCAGCCCACAACCAATGAGAAGCACCTGTCCCACCCTCTACCCCCTCACTGACCCACCCACTTGGTGAGCAACAGTGCATGCTCCCACACCATCAGACCGATGACTTGTGGTGGTGCATATTCATCTTGCTCATCAGCCCCCACCACCTGCCACTCTGCCCACCCAGCAAATGGTGGTATGCATTCCCAAGCCACTGGACCAATGAACAGGAGTAGCACACCACCACCCTGCCTGCCCCCTGCCCACCATCTCACCCATTTGATAAGCAGCAATACATACTCCTGAACTTCCAGACAGTAACCAGTAGTGACACACACCTGCTTAGCCCATCACTCCCCCTCTGCCATCCCAGCCACCCATGAACAGCAGCATGTGCTCCCACATCACTGGACCTACAACTGACAGTAGCATGCTCTCACCACACCCACCCCTTGCAGCCACCCTGTCTGCCCAGTAATCAGTGATGCACACTTGTCTCACCTACCTACTTCCCCCCAATACCATTGCCTCCTGCCTACCCAGCAGCAGGTGGTGACCACTCCCATGCCAACAGACCAGTGACCAGTGAAGCACACTTGCCCTGGCTGCCCTGATTTTATCAAATCAAAACAAAACAAAACAAAACAAAAAATCAGGACAAAATAAACAAACTTACAATCAATAAATAACTATATAAATAAATTAATTAACACCTTAATGACTCAGAGACAGCAGACAATAAAAATCATATGAAGGAATAAAATAAGATGGTTCGAACAGGTGAATAAAATAAAGGGGAAGAAAACCTTCCTGAAGAAGAAATGATAATAGAACTACCTGAGAAGGAATTTGAAAGATTTATAGTTAGGATCTACAAAGAGATCAAGTAAAACACAGGAAAAAAAAATGGAAGAATTCAGGAAAAGATACAAGAAAAAAATGACAGACTCAATTAAAAACTATACAAAAATAAC